AGTTGAGAAAAAGCAGAAACTCTTAGTTACAGAGGTGGACACACACACACACACTTGACATTACTTGAGATTTAGCATGTTCGGTCTGAATGCCACAGGCCCTGAAGATGTCTATGTAAGCCAAACAGGCTAAATCGACAGATTCAAGTCTGAGCATAAGAGCAGCGGCATCCTGCATACTGTTCATATTTTTGGTGTAAATTCTTGGGACCCTTTTTTGTTCATGCGGTTTCTCTTTTCAGAAGGTTTTGTGTTGACTTTTGATTCTCGTGGTGTATTACTGAGATGGCCGACATTCATTGCGTGGCTCAATGTACACTGCAATAGGTGCACATAGCAATCCCACGAAGACAGAAAAACATATCTTGACAACAAAATGCAATGGTTTCTACAATATCACCCAGGGACACGTGAACGTTTGGGTGTGAAATGAGGCATTGCATTGCACCATTGCATGTTGAAGTTTTTTCTTAGAGTGTGATGTATGGAGGGCAACGATGAAGCCAAATGTCTTCATCGCCACTTGGAGCAACTTAAGGCAACACTGACATCAGAAGATCAGACCAGCGTAATTCCCAATGTATTAGAACCTGGTGGCTTCTTTTGAAGCTCATTTTGATGTGCGAGAAGAACCGGCCCATTCCAGAACTCGACAGGTGAAGAAAAAACTAGGGCTCAATTGGAGAGCCCTTTGAAGTACAACAAGAAAAAGTTGAGCAGATTGTTGAAAGAAAAGCAGGACATAAAGGGAACAAAAGACAAGTATGGTATGCTCTCCCGCTCTGTGATATTACGGGTGATGCTGGCAGATACATCGCTACCTTCGAGAAATTTGGCAACTTTGCTCAATGAACATGCACTGAGCGGGGAGCAAGTGATCAGCCACCCGAAGGTTGGTAACGTCCGGGATGCCTTTGTGGAGCAAATCAAAGAACTATCTGCCAAGCAACTACCTACACCACTCCTTTAGTCGAGCATGCGCTGAAAAGAAAAGTTTGTCTATTGTAATTTCCCATGTCCACGATGGAGCCGACATGAGAATGCGCAGCTATACCTGTACGCTGGAGAGTTCCGAAGACTGCATTCTGCCTCGAAACGCTCCCAAGTTGTCACGACAGAAGCGTTCCAAAATTCAAACCCATTCGGTTCAAATCCATGGTTTGGACACAGAAGCTTTGCCTTGGTATGTAGAGTTGCAGCCGCTCAAAAACAAAACCAAAGAGGTTGTGGCAACTTCAATCATTGTAGCTCTGAACGGGGTATTGGCTGCCTTGCTGAGTCCCGAAGATGTGCGAGACGAATTGCCCACAGTGCTACATGTACTGATGGGAGACTCTATCAATACCAACGAGGCAGCTTGTCGCATTGTTCTTCACTATTTCAGGGAAATCTCTTCCTTTCGGAGACGCATGACTTACCGGCTCATTATGTGGAGGTGTGCAGCGCACAAAGCAGCCCTTGTTACGGTCACAGCTATTTGTGGCCGTTAGATGGTCAATCCCGTTGACGGTAATGAACTTTGCGGGTGATCTCGGGATAGCCGATGGGGGCCGACCCATCCTAGGCCATGTCCTTAGGCTAGTTCAGGGCCCTTACTTTCCTGGCAGGCAGGTTTGCTTGCGGATTTTACACGTCTCCGTGTCCTTTCACAAAGAGGAGCGGTTCGTGCTTGGACATGGGCTTTGTTTCTCGAGAATTCTAGTGCCAAGTTGGGAGTGCCATTGGATGATGACAACGATGAGAAGCTGAAGAGCTTCCCCTCCGAGACCTTGGATGATGAGGCCTTGTCCACCTTGCACACGTGGTACGTGACCAAACTCGGTCAGAAAAAAGGCCAAACTAGCCATGCGAAATTGCAGCCGCGCATGGATGGCTGGAAGAGCAGAGCTGACAAGGCGAAGGAAGAAGCTTTGGCTGCCGGTCGCGCCGCAGAGAAGGGTGGACACAAAGAAGCTCATCAGCCATCCCCCCCTGCGGCTGTGACTCATGGAAGGAAGGAGACGTTGCCATTGCTCTCCCTGGCAAAAGAAAGTCAGAGTTCGACCGCCAAGAAGGTGTCGTGCTCAAAGCGCTGGCCAAAAAGCTCCGTCTGGAGTTCAAGCGCTTGGGAGAGACAAAGGATGTGGACAAAGACAGATGCCAAAACGCGGCCAAGAGTGGACGTCAGAATGCCGAAGAGAAGAAGGAAGAGAAGAAGGAAGATAAACCTTCGCTGACGGAGCTCTTGGGCTCAGACGTGGTGGACGATTAGGAAGACAACAACCCGCGCCTGAAAAAGTAGCAGCCTCCTTTGACCGCTTAGTGACTTAGTGTCCTTCGCTTTTTGGGTGACGAGGGTGGACTAACGACATTTTTTCACTATTTCCAATGAACAATATTCAGACATTAGACAACACTATTTGACACTATTCCACACTATTCCAATATTGCACAGGTCGTTGAGGGCTTCCAACATTTAACAGCTACATAATGAATTCCAAAGTCCATATTAGCTCAAAAGTGCGAACACGTTCCCACGACCGACGGCTGGCTCACAAACGAAAATTCAAAAGTTACACAGACTTGTGGACCCGAATGTAGTGTCAAGCTCTAGATAGACAATTGGTTGATCGATAGATGGTAGATGGCACCAAAGCGGCTAGGATAGATAGACTATATAGATCGATAGGTAGGTATATAGATAGGTAGGTAGGTGGATAGATCCTGACACGGTCTTGTAGGCAGATAAAGTTCAGTTTTCAGTTTCGTGCGCTTTCCAGGGGTCTGGAAAAGGCGGGGTGCGCAAGCTCTTCTGATCTCGGCTCATTGAGCTCGCACAAAGACAACAGTTCAGAACGACGACAACCTCTATGGCGATCATTTGGATCAAGTAATGCTCTCACTCACGGGTCAAGTTGCCTGACCAAATCAGCTGCACAAATTCAGGATGTCATATTCATAGAACTTTGTGGATGCCTCAAGCATCTATTCAAGCTTCGTCATAGCAATGAACACAGAGCCGCTGGACGAGGTGTAGCAGAAACTGAATTCCCACCCTGTGCCAGTTACGCCGTGACAGGGAAATCTACCTGCTACGGGGACAGTTCAACCCGCGCCTCCTGAATCAACAGGGCACGCAGGTACCCATTGAGTTTCGTGACGGGTTCCTTGCAAATCATTGAGCAGGAACCATCCAGTGGGGTGGAACGACCTGCTCAGTTCAGCTTGGAGAAGGATAGGAAGATCGTAGAAAGATAGATCGACAGAGACAAAAGATAATTAGGTAGGAAATTGACATGTAGATTGACAGATAGATAGATACGTGTTGGCTTCTTCATTCAAACTTTGTCAAATCAACTACCCTTTATTCTTGTACCGTATTATGTCACACCACGCGTTTAAATGCTCAGTTCATCTCATAGGCCCAGGTGTTCATTTAATCTAATCATTTGTTTACTGAAAATCATCAATCTCGCATTCTTTGTGATCGTGCGAGTTGCCCAAAATGGGCAGAGCGAATGAGCTTCACGAACCCTCCTCTCATGGATCAGAGCCCTGTAAGGATCAAAAAATGAACAAGGTTGCTGCCAGAGACGATTTGATCTCGTTGTTCATCCGAAAAAGAGGGTGAATAGTGGTTTCCGCACGAGAGGGACGGATTCGGAGAGCCTTCCAGGGCCTTCCCCATGAAGTCCGGGGGCGTTTTGTTTGTAGAAGAACGGATGCGGACAGACGCCACTGCAGAGAGCCATCTAGAGGGCTTGAGATTGATTGTATGGGAATGTTGGAGTTGCTCATGCTAGCTGCTATGGTGGATGGGGCAGCACTCCATTTACTGTTGCAGGATGGTGCAAGAATAGAGGTGCCTCAGACGACGGCGGAGGAGCCTTCCTCGAATGAACTTGAATGGTGGTTTGGCAGTTCAAAGTTCGAACCTCTTCGTTTTGCAAGTAGACACTGTTTGCTGGCTTGTTGAGGACTTTGTTCGTGGCTCGGCATCAGCTTCAGAGTGCCGGACAATCACTTAGAACACATCGGTGAGAAAAAATAACAAGAACATTGAGCTGCTAAACCTGACACTTAGAACATGATAAACCCATCACTTAGAACAAGCAGAGCTCATTTTTACTAAATTTATGTAAATTTGTAAGTGCTTGTCCCTCATTATCAAAGGTTGGGTAAACATTTGACGTGATTGGGTTGAAATACTGTAGGGTCGCCACTAGGAGCAAGGACGCTACTAGGGGCTCCTGGCCTTACTACTAGGAACAAGGTTCGCTACGAGCAAGGACGCTACTAGGGGCTCCTGGCCTTACTGCTAGGAACAAGAAGCTACTGCTAAGCTACTATATAATAACAAAGACAGGGCATCGCTACTAGGAGCAAGGACCTACATATGCACATACGAGCATGTATATGTTCTAAGCGCAGGGATTTCAATTGTTCCAAGAGCAAGGCTTAGAACACGGATTGTTTGTTCTATGTGTGGGGTCCTCGGCATGTTCTATGTGACACTTCTTTTTTTGGTGAAAAGTATGTTCTAAGTGGTTGTCCGTCACTACAAAGTGACCTCGCTTGAATCGCAAACAAACTAGACCCCTTCGTGACAGATATGATGCTAACACAAGATACTATAGCGGGCGGGAGCTAAGTGTCCCTTATCTAGGAACCAAATCATTAATGCGAGCGCTTCTTCAAGGACGCTCCCCCCGCCGCCTTTAGCCAGGGGAGCTTCCTTGAAGAAGCGTGAGCTATCCTGCGTCCTAGCTAAGGAGCTTCCTATTGCTAGCAGCGAATGAGTCGCCCTTACTTAAGTCAGTAGGGGCCTGCCTTTTGCCGATCGCCACAACAGGCAGACTCGGGTCGATGCACAGAGCTTTGGGCCGTGAGAGTTTGCTGTGGGGGTTGCCAAAGTTGCGCCGGCGAGCCACACTCCATTGCGAGATGACAAAGGAGGCTGGACCATACTTCAACTATCAACAAATTTGGTTTGCCAGACTGCTCCGTGGTTTTCACACCTGAAAGGAATATGAATGGAGCAGCATGCATGCGCCTTTTCTTGAGTTCTTTTCGGTGACAGACTGCTGGCATTGTTTGCAGACGTGGTGAATCTGGCGGAGGATTTAAAATTTCATCTCAGGTTGCAATGCAGTGTGATCCGCGTGCTTCCCGCCAAATGGTCCTCGTTGATGCTGACAAGCAGGTGGGGGCAAATGGCCTTTATCCCACTATTGCCTTGACTTTTTAAAGCAATTGTGACTGCACGCCTTGCATCATATGTCCATGCCCAACCGGTGCTCGTGGTAAAGAAACAAGTGCATTGTGGCAATCCTTCAGCCCTTCAACAAATTAAGAGTAGTATTAAGAGTATTCAGTATTGATCACTAGTTACTAGTTAGTTTCCTCATAGACTCATAGCGGTTCCAAAGCCCCCTTATAAAATGGTCCACTCGTTCTCTTACAAAATGACTTTCCGAGGGGCATTCTACAATGGACCATGCTTTCAGAATTTGCTGATACCAGCTCTTAACTCATTGTTAAAAAAAGAACTTGTCGGGGATACTTTGGACAACGACTTCAAGATCATGGGGAGGTTGGCAAATGCATTTTGTAAAGGTCCTGTTTGGGACATTGATGGAAGTTGAACTACGCGGTAAACTCATTCAACAATTGTCAAGTGCTAATCTTTTTGGCCATGAGATTGCACAGCTTCATTCTGGTCCTGAGTTCCCTGATGAATCTGAAGCTTTTTCTCGGACGACATCATTGTCCAAATCCACATAGGGGAAAAATGGTTGACACCCGAAAGCTTTCCAGCACCAAATCCTGCTGCAGACAAAAGCAATACCCAAGGGTCACCTTCAAAATCAAAATCTCTTGCCGGGCCGGAAGCTTTGTATTTGGCCATCCCAGCAACTCAAGGGAGGAAGAATGTCCTGCACAAGGAGTCTTGCAAGGAAAATGACCATCCTATAAAGAAAAACCCGGCCCACACTTTATAGAATGACAATCGTAAAGGAAAAACCAGCCCCCCAGGTTTGAGTTTATAAAATGACCATCATAAAGGAACATCCAGGCCCCTCCACTCCCCCCTCCCCAGGTTTGAGTTTATAAAATACAATGACAAGTCACCCAAAGAAACCTCTTCAATATATGAAAAAAGAGAACAACAACATGATGGATGAAGATAATGATAGAAAGACAGCAATCCCATATTTTAAGGGGACTATTAATTCCTAGAATACCAAGAAATACAAGGGGAACAATGAAAGACACAGAAACGCGCATAAGATTACAACAGGGAACATCCACCAAGATAATTACATCTAAGAACAAATAAGAGGATGAAAGGAATAAAACTCATCAAAAATTAAAAAACAAAAGGTAGAGACGAGAGGCAAGGCAGCGAATGGCAAAACCGAGCTGTATGTGTTGCGGCATTCGCATTTTGTAAAGGTTGATATCCTTGACAATCGAACTACGGCATTTGCATTCAATAAATAATCTAGGTTTTTAGTGTGGCTCTCCCAATAATTTTGTAACCAGGTATTTTATTTCATAAACGGGGCCGGCGTCTATTTATATAACAACAGCAAATACCAATTTTATAAGCAGTTTTGGTTGATTTTCAATTTTATAGCCTGCATGTATTTGTAAATTGCAAAATCCGCGACCCCATGACCTTCTGAAGGGGTATGTTTCCTCTTGTGAACGGAAGCATCATGGACGTTCTTTGCACTTATTTGCCAGGTTGTTTTTTGTCACACATTCCTGGACCCTGAGCTTTAGCTGCACAGATGCCTGATCACATCACCAGTATCATCCATTACCCATGCTTAGGACTACCCGATGCCAACTCCTGGCCGAGGACTCGTGGAACCCGGACATTTGGATAAAGTTGGAATCCCCGTTTCATATTCCGCACCAGTTTGCTGGTGCCATTTAGTTGCGGGGGGCAGTACATGGCACCTTACTGCAAAGGCCGATCACATCCAGAATGGCCGAGCAACCTTATTGCCAAACAAACGCGGTTCATCAGCTAAAAAAACTCTGACACAAGCGGGAGATGACATGAATGCACCATGTCAGGAGCCCAAGGAGCTTTCCGAAAAGTGAATGAGAAGGGCGTTGCACGTGATTTGCATCACTGTTGGCTTCTGCGGCGTCTTCGGAAATTGCGCATCTTGCCTCCCATGTAGATAATGCAAAGAGGGTCACATTTTTTATTTTCTTTTTCGATGTTGAGTTCACTGAGTTTTACACTTAGGCGGACATTCGAACATCATGGACGAGCGCTTCAATTTCATGCACGCGCACGCTTTGCTGAAGAAACATGAATGGATTTTCGATGACGCCTTCGACCATTCCAATCAACCGTTGAGGACTCTTCCTGATTAAAGACTAGCAATTGTTTGTGGGGCTTGGTTGATATGAGCTGAAACAGCATCAGACAACAGGCACTACAAAGCGGATCAGCTTGCTTCAGTACTGTACATCGGTGTTTGGAATACATACGCATTATCGATTCTCGATCCAAATATTTGCATTTGAGAGTTTCACATGGCCCACAAGGGCAGAATCCCAGAAGGATCTTCAGAATGACTTTTATATGCACGATGGTGGGAGCAATAGCTTTCACCTTGAAGCTGTGGCAATGAAGTGAGGTCAAGAGTGCTTCACTAGAATGTCCATGCTTCGGAATCACATCACGGCACCAATATGCCTCTGTGAATGAAATTCCATAAGTGAGGTCACAGGCAAAGGATGCCAATGCCCAGCGTATGTGGAAAGAACCCTTGCAGGCTGAGGGAACGCACAGCTGAATCTTGAGCATCCAATCCCTCAGAAGCACTCAACAAACCCATATAAGTCACATCGCTACTTATCACCAGGCGAACCTGAGTCAGCATCGTTGCGACAGTATGCATTCTTCAAAAAGATGGAAACATCCTGGGCATTTTCTCCCGCAAAGTTTGCAGATGCTCTTCAGCTTTTGCGTGTAAGGTGTCATCTAAATCCAAAGCTTGCAAAGGCAGCGGGTGTTTATATGTGAAGCTTACTGTATCGCTTCCAGAATGTGGACCACAGCCTTAGCAACGTAGCAGTTGATTTGTGCAATGGCGGGGCTGGGTTATTGCTTTCCAACTCTGTGACGATGCTGATTCTGTGGGGCTGCATCACAATTGCAAGCCACATTGTTTTGACAGGCGCGAGTAGCTGCCTTGCAGATTGCGGGGGAGCCGGCGCCCAAGTGCCTGTCATGGAGTCCTGGACTCTTAGATTCATCCCAGCCCGTCCTGATGGGTGCTGAATGGGGTACTGAAATGTACTGAAGCACTTGAGGGACACCACGCCAGTCACTTTAGTTCTAGCTCTGTTGGTTCGGGTCATGACTCATAACGGTTCAAGGATGTTGTTGATGATATATATTGTGCCTCTTGCAGTGACTTGGTGTCAACATTCTTGCTCAGGGAGATTCCTAAAGAGCTCATCGATGCGGCAAATCAGCATTCAAAGCCAGAAGAGGACCAGATCCAGACCAACGATACCAACCGATATGAACTGATACTGTACCTCCAACCTGCCGGTCACATCTTATTTATCATTCAGTATATAACGAACATGAAAACCCCGTGTGCCCTTCGAGGAGCAGCCGATCGTATGGGAAGGCCGGGGTGAGTAGGGATGCTCAGAAAGGCTAGCTGCTAGCTGCTTCGTCCCAGAGGCTTCTCAGATTTTTTCTCTCCACTTAGATTCATTGCGTTTCAATGAGATTCTTGTCCTGTGATTTCTTCGCGTGCTTAGGCAATCTTGTCCTCTGGGTGCCAAGGCCAGCTGGCTTGTTCAGTATGACACTGGTGCACTGGCCTCCTTGTTGACATTGCTGAGGAAGATCGAAAGCGCACACGAGGCGTTGTTGGGAGTGATCAGAATCCAAGGGCGTTGTATATAATTTATGTAATGCTTGGCAACCACGTGGTGAGTTGGTGCATTTCCAACGTGGCAGATGGTCGTGATCTTGACCTTCCTCGGGAAGGGCGCAGACGGCGCAGAGGTAGTCGCGACCGGCGAGAGTCAGGGTCTTGGAGAGTTAGATGGGTGCCGAGACAGAAACCAATTGATCATTCTCATGGCGCAAACCGTAATGCAGCGCACTCGTCAGTGTTCAGGTCGGATCAGTTGCGAAGCCAATCGTCAGGCAACCCAGGTGTTTGCAATTGTTTGCACATGCATTGCCCCCACCATGACATGCAGTCCGAGCTGCAATCATCCTTTGTTTCCTGAGGCGGAAACGCCGCCGGCAGCAAGGAGAAGTTCCAGATGCCAAGAAAATTGCCAGACAGGTACCTGCTTAGCCTGCTTGAGGGAGTGATAGGGAGTGACATGGAGTGGCTGGATTGGGCATACTATTTCCACATCTTGTAGGAAGCACGAGGACGCACAACTCATGGCAAGCAACTGACCCCGGATGCACATCCCTTTGCGCTTCACAACTCAATGGCTCAGGGTAACAATCTGAGTGACAATGACTGAACATGTGGTGCAACGATTTTGTGCCAGTGGAGAGACAAGCACATGTACTGCAGTCTGCCACGAGAGAGTCTAGCCCGTATGACGATGTACGACAAACTAGAGGCAAGAAAAAGCAAAAAGAACAAGTCTATATAAAGGCCTAAAGATGAACAGACAAAAAACAACCATGTTTGAGAAGCGATTTGTGCCCCGGTGCAGGTCGCTGAAAACTTGCTGAGCGAAGACCGACAGGGTGAAGAGGAGGACGAGGTGGGGAGGTGTAGAGGTGGGTGGAGGATGAGGATTGGCATGGATTGGCTGGTCACAAGAGCCAAAAGAGGAAACAAAGGTGCTTGGGCCCAATTTCGGAACTTGTCAAAGGGGACCTTTCCATATCTTTTTTTCAACTCTTTTCACTCCTGACTGCGGTCTAGTTGTAAACGTTTTGATGTTTTCAGATGTTGACAGTCCATATGATGTGCTAGTCCTTGGCTTGAAGCCTCACGTTTGGCCAGGTCGAAGCAGTCCCGAACACAGAGCTCTTTGTTTTGGGTTCTTCGGAGTTGGCAGCCTAAAGCATTGACCCCCTGCCACTGGCTGTCAGCATGTTGCATGCGAATTGTTGCTTGGAGTCGTTACAATCAGGTCATACTCCTACGAGTGGGAAGGTGATGAAGAAGAGATTGAGAAAGCGAAGGACAGATATACTTTTCGCGTGCCAATTTGGTGGCTTCTTTATGCATTCCTCTTTGCCTTCTCTTGTCTCTCCTTCTCTCTTTCTCCCTCTCTAATTATCTCTCTCCCCCTCTTTGTTTGCACTCTCGCCCTATCGTGGGCAAAACTGTGTTTGCCTCAGCACCATCGCCCTCTGCAGGCGGCGCACGCTGCAGAAAAACATAGGATCAAGGAAGCACGAAAAGCGGAGGCAGAGCGCAAAGCCGAAGAACAGAGAAAAGCGGAGGAAGAGAGAAAAGCGGAGGAGCTTCGGAAGTTGGAGGAAGAGCGGAAAGAGGTTCAGTTCTTAATCATATACTGTAATGAGAGGTTATCTATCCAGCTCTCAGTAGTTTTGTTGTATATATGTGTGTGTGTGTGCCTGACCAGTGGAAGGGCAGACTTGGCTCAACCATTCCTGGCCTCTGTGCGAGCAGGCAGAACTCAAAGCCGAGGAAGCAAGACGAGAAGCAGAAGCTGCTGAGGCTGTTTGTCAGCCTGAGACTTTTGTTTTTTGAATTGGTGATGTGCTCATTGTCAGGAACTCTTTGTATGCAAGCCTGATGTTAGGAAGTTAGGAACGTTAAGATCCTTGGCCCGAATTTTCAACATTGTAGTTATGTTGTTGGCTTGGCAAGCCACAGGGACTGGCACCGCCCCCCACTCTACTTTATTCCACTCTTCTTCGACGTATACAACTCTAGACTCTAGCCAAAATCAAAATGCATGTTCCCGTTGCTCAGGCAAAGCAGAAAGAAGAAGAGGTTGCTCTTGTTCGTAGCTCCTCTCAGGAGACAAGCCGGCTACAACACAGCCAATATGCACTGCCCTGTGATCATCCTTTCCTAATGTAGAGCTTCTCAACTCGTAGATGTTTCAAGCCTTGTGATGCTGGAGCACTTTGGAAAGGCTTGCATCGCAGCTGCCCAGCATCGTGACTGACAAACTCTGACATGCACACGATTCCAGACACACAGGAGCATACAGAAAGCCACAACACTACAGAACACCGTATGCCTCTCCCATAATGTGTGCAGCCTTTTCTTCTATTGAAGCTGATTGAGGCCAAGAGCTTTAGATTTACAGAACGGTCATTTCTCCAAGACACACCAGCTATAAATCCCGTTTCCCGTTTCGCTGCTTTTCACGCCAGCCTCTTCGCAATGGGGCTGTCCGTCAGCATCAACGCATCAGTTGTTTCGAATGTGGGATGGCAATGCTCGATGCAAGCAGCTGCCGCTCAGCCCTCAGCTTCCAGCCTAAACTTCGGATTGGGAAGGATTCATGACACTGTGCACACATGACATAACATAATATTCGATGTTCGGCAGCGTTGAACTTGAGGCTTCTGCCAGGCGGACCTTGAGCCCTCAGGCCCTAGAAGCTTGATGAAGCGTACCGCAGCTAGCAGCCAACATGTCTTGGACAAAAGCACCGAAAATTTATTGCAAGCACTGAAGATTAGAACATGCAGGGTCAGGTGCGATCTGCTCCACCCTACCTGCCAGTGCCAGAAGCCCAGTTGTTGAACTTAGGCATTGTTGATCATTTTTGCTGAACTGTGCCTCAGCAAGAGCTGCACGGATCGAGCTTGTTATTGCCTAGGCTTTGTGCTTGTGCAGGTCCGTATCCCAATATTGTGCGCGTGAGGGGTCACGCGAGTCGCGAAGAATCTCACTGTCTCATGAAGGGCGAAGGAGCTATAAGTTCAAAATATGGATATATATATACAATGTCCTTTACGACAAGCCACCTTTATCGTTCACGTTGACTCCATGACAATGACAATCCCAAATAAAGGTAAGAAATCCTTTGGATACCCGTCTTCTGGAAGTTATAGACCGTACCACGTTTGATAGAGTCTGATCGAGTTGCCAAGCTCACCACCTTGGCGACTCCACTAGCTTATTTAGCTTTTCAATGCTTTGCATTTTGCTGCATACCATACCTGTTTGGCCATTTCGAGCACACCGGTAGAAGCACTGAGGGGGCTGGTGGCGACCCAAGCGTCGATGGGTGAGAGCTTGTGGCGTGAAGGCTCTCCCCCGTTGAAGAGGGTGCAGAACAAGTTCTAGAAGAATCATGTTGGGTGCAGAGGAATTGTATTGAGACCACAGTACACCGTAGAAAGAGACTACAGTACTGATGTGTATTGGTTCAGATTGCTTCACAGAGCTGGTACAGTAGGGCCACAACCTGAACTTAAACTTTTTTCAAAACTTTTTGTCGACGACAACTTAATGCCAGCCATCCAGTCCAAGGGATTTTACCATGCAATCCAAGATTGCGTTCTTTGACGAGGCACTGCAAAGATCTCGCGAGAGCCAGTTGGACGGACCAGAACTAGCGCTGAGAGTCGGCGCGGAATCGGCACAGAATTTGGTGCCTGGACTACGCCTTTGGCCAGATTTCCTCAGTGAAGAGGAAGGCGACGGGACCCTTGAACTTGGTGACTCGAAGTCTATCGGCCCTGTGCGGAGGAAAACGACTGGCGGAATATTTGGACCAGAATGGGCCATCTTGGAAGAAAGAGCAGTTCGGTGTGCCCACGCTCTACCATGCCACATGGCCAGAGCAGAATCGTGGTTTTGGAATCGTATTCTGTTTGGCACTTGCTCACACAACCTTCCAAGTCCACCTGCAGTTACTTGAATGCCCCAAGCACAGGCCTGACAAATGGAGAGTTTGTTCACCCCCCATCCGAAAACACTCGGGGTCCAAGCGGAGGCCAAGTTCTATCAAATTCTCCAGACTGCAAGGTAAAACATTTTGGCGCTTTGGGCTCACTTAGACCTCGGCTAGTTCGCTTCTCGTCCGCACATCATGGAACAGTTTGGAAGTTCCACTCTAGCAGTGCGTTGATGTGCTGCAGTGCTAGAGCGAGGATTGCCAGATCCGACTCGGGGCGAGTTTGACTTGCCGGAAGAAGGGATACTGGCAGAGGCAGGGTGCACATGAGCTGTACACAGACCTCTCCACAACTTTTGGAATCCTTTGCTGGTAAGGTGTCTGCAAGATTAGCCAGTGGAGAGATGCCGTGGAGCAGCGTGCTCAAAGGTTTTATCCCCAATGAGGTGTGGGTGTGAAGAAGCGTCGGCTTTTTGCTACACCAGCTTTGCCTACTGGCTTGTCCTAAACCTTGTCTAGGGGCAAAATGACTTCAAAGGCCTCGCATTGCACGGACATGTTCAGGCAAACGTCAATGACTACAGCAGATCTGAAGGCTCCAAGCTTTTAATGCACTGGGACGACCGTGGCTTATACGAGGAACCTGTTTGCTCTGTAACAGTGCTGGGAGAGTGCATCATGACCTTTCGACCGAGCGGGAGATCCAACTTCAAATCTACATCGGCTGAGGAAGGCCGAAGGGTCTTGTCAAAGATGGCATGAAAGCATGGCCGTTCATCTAGAACCTTCGCACTGACAAGGCGTATACAATGCTGATAGGGTCACGTGCTCGTTGAACAATCAGATCTCCAATTGGGCATGCCAGTTTTGCAGTGGTGAGCAGGGATGACCTTGGCAAGATCAGGTGAGGGGCCATCAGTGCGTTTGCTGGTGCCAGAGCGCTCTCTCCTGGTCCTGAAGGGGGCTGCCAGCGTCATGACTGCAGTGAACTGGAAGAGCAGTTTCCTGATGTTTCCTGCATTTCCAAGATTTGTCATCACATATTCTTGTGGATCCAAGTTGCGCATCAAGCGGAGTGAGGATACGAGTGGCAACATGGAATTCCGGAGCCAGTGGCTTGACCACAAGGGAGTGGGCAAACGTGGCCTTTATATGCCTTTATTTTGATCGAAAAGGAGGGAAACTCGTCAATCTGAAATCGAGAGGACTCATTGCACCAAAAACGCCCTGAGAAGGGTCAGAACAAAAGGCCGCAAACTGCAAACAACAAAAGAATACAAAAGTTAAGACAAACAATATCAAATACTTAAACATCCCGCCGGGTGTGGAATCGCACGTGTAGTCGTGCAAATTTTGATTCAAAAGTGCAAACCCTCTCAGTACTTTTGCTTGTTCGATGATGTTTTTTGGGGGTCCCGGATCCTTTCATTTTTAAAGCCGAATCTGCCGAAACCCAAGCGCCAGCGCAAAATCCGTCGCCGTTTTTGTCCCGGGCTGTCCTCAACTTTCATGCGTCCTGTCTCAAGTAGACTTGCGCAGTTTTTTGCACATTTTAGTACACGTGGTGTTTTCCCAACGCCGCTGCCATCCGCGAATCACACGACTAATCGATGAGAATGTTATGAAACCGATGACAATGCTATGAAACCGAAGATTACTTGTCGTGAAATCGATGACAATGTTCTCAGCATGACATCCACATCCTCATTCCATCACCCCCCCCACCCC